AAAAAAAAAAAAAGAAAGAAAAAATAGCTGGGCATGGTGGCAGGCGCCTGTAGTCCCAGCTACTTGGGAGGCTGAGGTAGGAGAATCGCTTGACCCGGGAGGTGGAGGTTGCAGTGAGCAGAGATCCCGTCACTGTCTCCAGCCTGGGCAACAGAGGGAGACTCTGTCATCTTAAAAAAAAAAACAAAAAAGAACTTTATCATAAGTATTTATGTACAGAAAAAAAGAACAATATATATAGGACTAGGTACTTTTCTCAGTTTCAGACATCCACTGGGGATCTTGGAAGCCCCCAGGTAAGGGTGACATCTACCATAGTCAATAATTGAACACTCTATCTAAATTTCTAAGGTAATTTAGGAACGCGTTCATTTTTCAGAATGTGAGGATATACTGACACCTGATATTCACCTTAGGATAAATAATATAAAATGGGCATTTGAAAGTCTTTGAGAGAAGGGAACAGGTTTTAGAATTAACAAGTAGTTCCACATTTTAGCTTCATTTACATGTTAGTTTTTTAAAAGTAAATGTCAACTGTCCTTTAACTATTCATCTTAGTAATGGCACTTGGTGCCAAAAGCGAACAAATATTCTGCAACAATAAATAAAAGGGAATGTGAATAAAGGCAGCCAGGCAAGAAGAAGTCATCTGCCTTAGAAAAATCACAGAAGAGGAGCTTAGACCTTATGAAGGAAACCAACTGAGTAAATGTCAAGTGGGAGATGAGCTTCCTTTTGATATTTCCTCACTTGTGACTAATCAACTTGTGAATGACAAGCTGCTGCATTTCTGACATAAAACTGATGCTAAAGCAAACATATTTTTCTATTGTCTGTCTTGGTGCTGTCTGCACGCTCAAACTTCACTTCCAAAGGGAATATGCCTAGCTCCACCTTTCCGTAAAAGACCACATCTCTAAATATATTTCAGGAAATACAACATGGATTTGTAGATCTCTAATGTATGCTATGTAATGAAGTAATATGCCTTGAGGGAAGGCCGTGTGAGAAATTGACATTCTTCCACTAATACATAATCACAAGAGGTTTTGTGATATTATTGTTGGACTCCCACAATCCAATTCTGCTAAGCGAATATAGGGAAGTTTTAGGGGCAATTTGCTTATTTTTAGCAGCAAATCACCATTTTTTAATGAGTGGGAATTAGAGAACTTGAAAAGGGGAAAAGGCTTTCTAAATTTGCAAAAATAAATTGGCCTTAGGAAAAGTTACACTTTGTATGCTAGTCATTGTCCAAATCACAAATTTTAATTATATCCACTCAAATACTAGTGTGTAAATTTCATGAGAGGCATGGTAATTCTGAGTTTACTAGGCCTGACTTTGATATACCTTTGATAATATGGGTACTGAAGATTACATATGTGCAAAACTCTCTACAATGATTTATATGGAAATTTTTAAATGTTTTCTATGATGTAGTAAGCATTTTATGTTTCTACTTTGGTTTGTAATTAGCATCCCTATTTCATGAACATAAATCTAACACATAAAATAAATTTAATAAATAATTTATAAAATAAATTTCAGAAAATATGAGTAATTTATTTAAAAAATGTAATATTCAAATATCTTGAGTTTTAAAAATCATTGCTATTTCTGGATGAGGAATCTGAGTCCAAGGAAAGATGCAAACCTTTTCTTTTCTTGACAGAGTTTTGTAATAAAAAATGAAAAAAACAACTACGCATCAGTAAGTGTGGTGGGCAATACCGGCAGTAGATTCAAACTGTATGGAAACTTACTACAAAGGCCTGCAAATCTGACCTTCCCCACACCTTCATCCTTTCCATATTTTGGGCCCTCTTTCCCCTTCATCTCCTTGCTGTAGCCACACTGCTATTTTCCATCTGCCGTGCACCCACATCTCAGGGCTTTTAGATACATCCTTTAACTTGTGATTTTTCTAGATCTGATCTAAGAACTTTCTGATCTATAAACTTTCTATAATCTCTAGAAAGTCCACTGTTACTATTAAAGTCACAGCACAAAGCTACCATTTAATATCTCTTTATTAAATATATAGATATTTGTATTTCGATAAGATTATAAGCCCCCACAAGGGCAGGGACTCTGTAGTTGCGTTTATCATTATATCTCTAGTATTTGGTATCTAGTATCTAATAAATCTACTTAATAAATTGACTAATTAACCACACATAACATTCATCAGCTTTGGAGCTATGATTACTGTTATCGGTTTGATTGGCAAGACAGAGTGAACTCATTAAGGTCATCACTTTCAAAATGAGAAAGAGAATCCCCCAACCAAAAAGAACTTACCACAGTTGACTTCATCAGTACGATCACCACAGTCATCCACCAGATCACATAACTGAAGCTTTTCTATGCAAGCCCTGGTGTGGTGACACCAGAAATGATCCGGCCCTTCACAGCTCTCAGCAGGAAGGGGGAGAGTACAATTTTCAAATCGGATGTCATCAATAGCTGAGACCCCATCATAAATGCCCAGACTGACTTTATCTAGTGACAAGTGGAAGGGCTGAGAAAGGCGCCCTAGCTGAATGATTGCCTCCGACCATTGGTTGCCCTGATTGTATAATACTCTCCAAAGCACTGTTGAGTCATGAGATTTTTCCATATGTAGTCGCAGCTCAGCTGCTCCCACTGACAGGCCATAGTTATAGAACCTAAAAAAGAGTAAATGTAAGAAATGCAAGTGATTTATAGAATAGACTACATATGTAGCCTTTAGACTTTTCTACTCAGTCAACAGTCAATTTTCATGAATTATCATAAAAGACATTTTTCTTTCCTGCAATAACGGTAGCTGTCCATTTGCAAGAGCTTATCTGCTAAAGCACACTCTCTGTGATTCTCACAACCCTGGGAACTTGTCTCAAGGAGCTCAGTACAGAACAAGAGGAAGCAATCTTAATTAAATTATAATCCACAGTTGGAGGGAAAAAGCCCCTTTCATACTAAGGAAAAAAGCAACATATACTGATAACATGCTCCTAAGTAAAATGCAAATTGTGTGAATTGAATGCAACAGTTATTTTTGGAGTAAAACCAGCAGTAAACCACAGTAATGCGTAAGTGCAGAAGAGTGCTTGCAAATCCTTGACCAATAGGGTAACTGATCACTTTGTTTAACATTTACCAGAAGGAAAGTATGCATCCAGGTCCTGTCTGGCTGAAAGTTGGGCTCTGGAGCCTAGCAACTTGCCACAAGCTGCTGCTTTCCTTCAGAATGAACATAAAATGCCCTGTTGAGACACAAAAACAAAACCTTCATTAACCTACTGGACTCTAAAATGAGACATCTGTCTCTTAACCCTACACTGAGCAAGATCACTGTCCAACTGAAATTAAAGTTATACAACAAAAAACAAATCAGTGACTCCTCTTAGTCAAATTTGCTCTCATAAATGCCGAACCACTATCTACATCTCATGCTAAATGATACCAAAAACAATTAATAATTTCAGGCAGAAATATATCTATATGCCATCTGTACCACCCATAAAGGAATCAGTCCATGCAGCAGAATTATAATTGACAATATTCCAACTGACAGTTTGCTGTAGTATCACAGAACCATACCAGTTTCCCTCTCTCTTCTGAGGTTTAACTGCACAGTAAGTAGCAGTGGTTAGAGAGTCCCTGTTTGCTTCTTACCTTGAGATGTGTTGAGACTATGATCCCGAGGTGGAGCCTGGTGCTCAAAATCAGCAGAAAGTTCACTCTGAGAGCTCCGTACCCAATCAAAATGGTCACCACTAATTGCTTCAAACCAACCACAGCTGTTTGCTTCAAAATCACACTTGGAAACTGAAGAACAAAAATATGGCTCTTATGCTGGCTCTCCAAACGGCCCCCACACTTTGAAAAGGCAGAGTTCAAATGGAAATCACCTTCTTATGCTTCTCTATGTACATGAAGGGCATGAAGGGACAAATTTGAGAACATAAAAAAAAAGGATCCTTTCTCATTTGCAAAAATGGAGTTGCACTTTCCATACTGGAAATTGACAAGGCAGAATTCTCAATTCAAGAAATTCAATTTTTTTTCCAAATATTCTAAGAAACAGCATCATTCAGTTTGGTTGCTTATAGAATTGCCAAGGTATATCTAATTCATGCTGATACTTAATGTTAGTTTCCCAGCTACTATTACATCAGCTGGAAGGCGTCATTGTTTCTGCATGTTGTTTTATGTTAACCATGAAAAGCTGCTACTTCTAAACAATTTAACATGTGAAGAATCTCAAATACACTCTATTTAATACAATGTGTACCCCAGATTTGTATAGAGCTTAGTATTTCACAAAGTATTACATGCACTGCCTAACTGTTGCAGAAATAAAAAATTTGAACTATTTTCAGATAAATATGCAGAGAAATCAGTTATATTCTGCAAAGATATTCTAGAAGAGGAAGAAGAAAAAAGGAAAATGAGAAAGAGAAATTATAATGTTAGTAGTGTAATAGTACAGCTAATAGTTACTGAACACTCTATGTAACAGACCCTGTGTGGAATATATAGATCTAACTTTCACAAACAGCCCTATAGGAAGGTATTTCTGTTGTTATTTTATAAAAGAGGACAGAGAAGTTGAGAGTAGTTATTAATGTATGCAAGGTCAAATAGTTAAGAAGTTATAGAGTGGGATCGTAACCCAAATATTGTGACTCATAGGCTAATATTCTTTCTTAAACTGTTGACAATAAGTGTTAAATGTCATTAAATTGAACAAAAGTAAACCAAAAAGGCATAATCTGAATTTACTTGGAATGAACATTCAGCTGTTACTACACAGACCAAGGTAAAATGAAGTTCAATTTCATTGATGATGATTACACTGAAATTCTTACCCATTAGTTATTTTTATCCAGGAATATAGTCATAAACTGTGTAGGCATACCCTTGTAAAATAAATTAGGAAGTAAACAGTGAGTTTAGGGTAAAAAGGTATAAACTAAATCACTAAATGAGATTACAAAAGTTAAAATTATAAAATCATTTTAATCTAATAACAAAGTTATACGGAATTTAACCTAATTGTAAGAGCATTTTAACCTAATGATGAAATTATCCTTTTGAATCTTGAAAATGCCTCTTCTACATGGAGAAGAATGTGAGATGATAATATTACAAGCACCTTCTAAGTTTTTATAGTTTCTATGAAATGTCTAATTTCAAAAGCATATTTGCTTTCTATCAAATTTCCTGGCCCCAATTTGACTAGCAAAGTAGTTCTGAATCTTATCAGAACCAAAGGGAATGTATAAATACATCTATATATCTAAAAACAAAAACTTTAAAAATAACACATCTACTTTAATATGCAAGAGACAGTTATACTTCAGTATATAAAGACAAAAACAAGTGAAATGAAAGCTTTACTATATTTAAAGATTTTTCAAGTAAAGTTTACAAATGTGTGGTAAAGCAAAATCATATACTGCTCAAAAATTTAAAATAATAATAGTAAATAATACAAGTTAGAAATAAAATGCAAAGGATATTTGTCTTCATACAGTTAAAAGCTATCTCCATAAGTATATAATATACAAACAACACATAAATATACACAGAGTCTAGGGTTTTCAAAGTACGTAGATGTCATTTTGATACCTAGGAAGCAAATGCTTTTGATTCTTATTTCAGACAATCTTGGGGACTGGATCTAGGAGTTATTGTTATGTAAATATAAGAGGAAAACAGGTTATTGCTACTGTATAATATCTATCTCACACACCTACCTGGAAAGGAAACCTTATTATCTGCTATTCAGGGAGATAATGCTATAGAAATAAGAGGCTATTCCAATGGTAGCAAAATTTCAAAAATCATTGCAGTGACTTTGTCGTTCTCTTAGATAAGACTCTTCAAAGATAGTGATTTTTCAAAAGATAATTATGCTGTTAAAATTCAAATATGCATTTCTAGTGTTCTTTATACTCAGATTTAAAAACTTTCCTTGATCGATCATAAATGTAATAATCAATCATTTATTTTATTTTATTTATTAATTTATCTTTTTGAGATGGAGTTTCGCTCCTGTTGCCCAGGCTGAAGTGCAACGGTGCAGTCTTGGCTCACCACAACCTCCGCCTCCCAGGTTCAAGCAATTCTCCTGCCTCAACCTCCCGAGTATTTGAGATTACAGGCATGTGCTATCACGCCCAGCTAATTTTATTTTTAGTAGAAATGGGGTTTATCCATGTTAGTCAGGCTGGTCTCAAACTCCCAACCTCAGGTGATCTATCCACCTCAGTCTCCCAAAGTGCTGGGATTACAGGTGTGAGCCACCTCGCCCTCTAGTTAGCTATTAATTGAATATGTGCTTCACTAGAACAGCTTTGAAAAATTTTATATATATATATATATATATATATATATATATAATTTCTACATATAATTATATATCATAAATATAAATATAGTATGTGTGTATACATACACACACCCATGCGTATACATATATAAAATTTCTAAGTTAGAAAAGGAGAAATACAGTAGCCCGGGAATGTTTTAATAATTGAGGTTCAAGAATTTTTCACTGCTTCTGAAGCATTATTAACTTTCTCAGTCATCATCATCAAAATTCTCATTATTTGCAATAATAATTGCAATTAGCATTTACTCGGGGTTTGGTGTATAGCAAGCTTTGTGCTAGGGGCTGTGACAGGCATAACATGATGCCCACTGACACAAAATTCCTATTTAGCACATGTACCTCAAAGCCCAAAGTACATTAAAAATAAAATTATGACTGTCTATACTATGGCTATAGGTTGAAAAGCTAATGATTCTACAGCAGCTTTTAGTTACCGTGAGAAAAATTACCTGAATGACCTCTACTAATTATGTAAATATCATTACATCAGTTGCCCCTGGAAAAAAGGCATTAGGGGATACTTTGTGGGCTGGCTCACAGGTCCAACCCTGTCATTATTTGAGCTCTTCATTGAGATAAAAGAAATTGAATTTGTGTAGAAGCCAAAAATCCTCGTGCAGTGGGGGGAGGGAAGAAGTTCAAAAACAGCCTTTATCATTTCAGATTCACTGTCTCAGAACTTCTCTGATGGTTTAGGATGATTCTACTGAGGTCTGTTGGCAAGGAACAAACACGAAGTGTACAAAAGAGAAGTCTGAAGTCTAAGCTGGTAATGTGAGCCTCACACAAAGATTTAAAAATTCCTAGAAGGAAATACGTCCTGACACATCATGTGGTTGAACTTTGAACAGTTGAACTCCTTCTGGTGTTAGTCACAGAGGCAAGATGCTCATGTTGAGTGAGAAAAACAAAATAAAACAAAAACAAAACGAAGGCTGAGCATGTGAGTAGTAATTTTAAAAAGTTAAAACCCAGACCCAGGTGAGAGGTGCCGTTGTGACTTACAGAAAGATCTGAATCAGAAAGAATATACATGTAGTGTAAAAAACATCTGTTGATACATATGTCATCTTATTTAATCCTCATGGAATATCAAAGGAAATACTGTTGTCCCTATCTTATTTATTTTTATTTTGAGACGGTCTCATTCAGTTGCCCAATATGGAGTGCAGTGACGTGACCTCAGCTCACGGCAGCCTCAACCTCCCAGGCACAGACAATTCTCCTGCCTCAGCCTCCTGAGTAGCCGGGAACACAGTTGTGTGCCACCATGCGTGGCAATCTTTTATTTTTTTTAATTTTTGTTGAGATGGGGTCTCCCCATGTTGCCTATGCTGGTCTGAGGGTTCAAGCGTCCTCCTGCCTCGGCCTCCCAAAGTGCAGGGTTTACAAGTGGTAATCCACTGTGCCTGGTTGTGTCCCATTTTTATATTCTATTTTATTTTATTATTTTATTTTATTTATTTGGAGACAGAGTTTTGCTCCATACCCAGGCTGGAGTGCAGTGGCACGATCTCAGCTCACTGCAGCCTCCACCTCCCAGGTTCAAGCGATTCTCATGCCTCAATCTCCTGAGTAGCTGGACGCCTGACTAATGTATGTATTTTTAGTAGAGATGCGGTTTCACCATGTTGGCCAGGGTGGTCTTGAACTCTTGACCTCAAGTGATCCACCCTCCTCAGCTTCCCAAAGTGTTGGGTTAACAGGTGTGAGCCACTGCATCTGGCCCATGTCTCTGTTTTAAATATGAGAAATATGAAATTGAAAGAGGAGTGACATATAATTTTTCAGTGCTCATAACTCCTGTGATGATTCTAACACAGACCTGATGGCAAAGCTTATGCCCTTTAAAATTATACAGCTTCTATTAAGTTAAATCATTAAGAATAACTATAACAGTTTTAAACAGCTGTCCTATACCAAGCACAACGCTATGTGTTTTTAACAGAATATAATATAAAATCAAAATATCATGACCACAGGACAGAGTCTGGAAATAGGTGTCAAACCACACAATAATAAAGGTTGTTAAGCCCACCACATTGACTCTTCTTGTCCCTTTTAAGATTTTTTTTCCCCTAGATTTTGTGTCCCTACTGAAAGTTGCGTGAAGGAGGACAAAAGTTAATTGAGTATTCTAGTATGTTGGCTTAGGTTCATAGAGGTTGTCCTTTATTTGATTAAGCATTTGTTATAAACTCCAAATGCATGAATACCATATTCTCTATTTTGGAAAATGTTCTGTAGCACTGTAATTCTTTTGAGTTTCAGCCTTTTCCATGCATTTTAATGGTTATGTGTTTGAAGTTATCATAAGGTTGAGGCAATTAAATTCTAGACTTCATCAATAGTTAATAGTCATTAATTATTTAAAACAAAATATACAATAGTAAGGGAATGTTTGCAAAAGTATCATAAAATTATTTTA